TTTTTTTTTAAAAAAAAAAAAAAAAAAAAAAAAAAAAAAAAAAAACATTAAGGAAAACAATCATTTAATGTGATCTCTGTTAGAACAGAAAACATTACAAAAGAACAGCTAATGATCAGAGCATATTGAAATGAAGATGACCTGGTACACTAATGGGATTTTTGTTATCAGCTATCCAGATTTAAAGAGATTATTCAAGACAAAACTCAAGAACTTGATGTGTGAAAACAGCTGATAAAGTATTAACTGTGTCTGGTAACAGGTTACACAGCACATACACACATTGGTGCTTTTTGCAGTATTTATTTGCAAGACTGTCACACTGAGATTTCTCCTTCCACAATAAATTATTTACTATTATACAGTGTATAGAACAATGGTGAAACATTTCTTGACAACTCAGAAGACAGACATACTGCAAAAGTCCGCGTCTCTGAAAACGAGAAGTGGAGACAACAGCCTCCTTGCATCTTCATTAGCTAGATCCTTTCTCCTGTTTGGAAACAGAATCTTCCACAGGAGTAGCTCCCAAATCTTTGCTCGACTTCTCCTCTTCATTTTCATCCTCTTGAGGGTAAAGATCTGGGTATTTTTGCATGCATTCCTGCATAGCACGGAATTGGTCCACACAGTCTGATCCCTTTATTTCTTCTGTGCTATAGTGGAAACAAGAAAAGGCTGACTTGAACTGTTCCCCACAGGGACCGCTGGCCATTCCACCCAGACATGGGCAGTTCCAATTGATATCTCCATTGGGCAATATCAATCCTGAACAAATAAAAGAGAGAAGTAAAGTTAAGTGCTCCATTCAATAAATTAATTACATTCAACGAAAGCTGCTAGGAAGTATTAAGAATACCGTAGGAGTTCTGTAGCTTCAGGAGTGCACAACACCTTCCATTTCCTGGACTGTTTACTTCACTCTCTGATCTTTATGATCCATCATTGGGCACAAGTTAGAATAGTTGTGTATCTTTGCCTGAATTAAGTCTTTTTCCACTTGCCAGGCTCTGTCAGAGAGGCATGCGAGCCTTAAAATCATGTAACGTAAGAACTTAATTCCTGTATTAAGATTAGAATTCTTTTGAATCAAGCTGGATGAATGCTTTTTCATTGTTTTCAATGAACATAAGACATAAGGTTATGGCATACCTACATGATAAATCTATTCTTTTCCAGATACAACCATTCTCTATACTGTACAGTAGAAAAAGATCAGGAGAGGCACGATGGCAGATCATGCCACAAAACTTGAACACTGGAAGTCAAGCATTCTATTAAAGTAGAAGCTAAATAAGAAAAGTCTGTCTGTGACTTTATACACAACAAAGTCCCTTCCAATTGTCTTTTAATAAAATCCAAGAGTCAGAGCTTCTGCAATTCAACATACTCTAGAATGCTTTGCCCATATGTCCTTCCTGCCTGCAGTTTTCTCTCCCATTAGATGTGGCTCTTTCTGTGACGTTTTGATCTGCAGCTCTGCAGCTTGATGCTGTTCAAGTGAGAAGTTTTCAGGGAACCCTTAAAACATGGCAGTAAGTAACCACATGCTAAGAATAAGCTTATTACAGTATTTAAACACGGAGTTTATTGTTCTGAATCATACAGTTACACAATTTCACTGCAAGGTGCCCCTGATGTAACTAGCTTCTGGCTTTCTATTTCTTCTGTAGTTTAGAAAGGTGATCTAACATGCTATAAATACAGAATGGATAATAAAAAAGAACTATCACCTTCATTCTTCACCACAGCCTTTCAACACCTAGCAAAATACACATATGAGGAATGAATTAATAAGCCGTTCAAACAAGGAGGAAGTGCTTCCTTTAATTTTTACTAGCTTATTACCCAGATAAATGGCACAGTACACTATAATCATTGCATATGTACAACCAGAGAAAGAACAACTTGGGACAGGGTGTCAAAGAGAGAAAAGAGAGAAACCCCTCTTCACAGGCATCAAAAGAATTGATTTTGAATCTTGATAGCATGTATCTGTATTATGTTAGATCTGAGGCAGGCACTCTTTCATCTCAAAATCCTGTGTCAAAAATAGCTGTTTTAGTTCCAGGACCAATACGTACCCACATGCTGTTGCTAGATCAACAGCTTTTGTTAATAGAATACAATACTTTAATTATCCCCAAAGAAAGACCATGAATGATTATAAGGGGAAAGACAAGCAAACTCGGAACGACCACATGTAACATCAACACAGCTTGCATGTATGCATTTACTTAGCCAAACAGGAGGCTACTTTGTTTAGTCATACACACACCACACAAAGTGACTCAACAGTTCAGTGAATGATAAACTCTCTAAGGCTTTGTATGCTCTCCAGATGTGGTTTCTAGAAGAAAAAAAAAGGTTTTCCTCCTCTATTTTGCATTCAGCCTCCAGTTTTTCAGAGGAAACAGGAAAGCACAGAAAAGCAACTGTGAACTTAATGATGCCATCTGATCATTAGCGGTCGTTAGCTCTTCACTTAACAGACCAATAATGGATTTAAGATCTGACAGGAATTAAAAATTCAGATTTTGCTATATTTCTACACACCGTACAGATCAGAGTAAATACTTTTCAAGTTATGCCTCCTCAGACACTGCTTTCCACAAACCATTTGCATGTTTCATCTTCCACCCAAGGCAGTAAAAGATACCATTTGGATTCTATTGCCTGTAAGTGCCTCCGTGAAATTCCCAACAGCTGAAGCACCACTGCCATGACAAAAGCAATGCTAAAGCCCAAAGCAGAGACTGCTTCCATTAAATAGGCAGGTTAGTCACAGCATCACAGTGACACAACTTCTCTGAAAATAGGAGATGGAGGAATTCCTGACAGATATTAAACTGCAGCTTCTAAAAATCTTCCTGAAATAAGACACAGGGACTTGGGAAAGGCTTAGGGGAAAGCAGAGAAAGGAAGAACATTTTTTCTCATCTCAGGTTGAAGGTTGTCAGGTTACCTACTTGTCAACCCTACCATACAGTCAAAAAGCCAGTGAAGGTTACTGCAAAGCCTGAATAGGCAGCACACATCCTTTACTACAAGAAGATATTTCTGTCTCTGTAAGTACAACTGAAGCTATGCTTAACGAAACAAAGTTATGAAAACCAAGTTATTTTAATGACATAAATTAGAACTATGTAGTACATCCGCTAACAAAGCATCCCTTTGCACTACACAGCTGCTAAACTGCGCTTAAATACTGCCCTCTGGGGGTCACAGAGCCACTTGCTTCCAGTTTCTAAGAAAATTTCAGCCTCAGCTGTGAAAGCAATGAAATCATACAAAATGACAAGGCTAAATGGCATAGAAGTATAAAGAAAATAAGAAAAAAAAATCTAAATTCACAGACATTCAGAACATTTTATTAACACAGTCAAAACGTACTTAATCCTGACAGAAAACAAGGTATTTCATCATTACAAATAACCTAAAATACACTTTGTGCAACCAAAATATCACCAGTCATCCAGAAATATTCTGATCTCTTTAGTCTCTTGAACTAGTTCATTTGCAGGTTGGATATACTGTGTGAGAACTGTAACTATCATTTAAAACTTGAAACTTGCCTCTTCTCAAGGCAAGATCCTTACAGCTGAAAGCTGTAATGTGAACTTACCTGTCATGAAATTAAAAGATTACTGATTATTTTACCACTTGTACAGTACAGAATGAGTCATATATGTACAATTTACATTAAGCAGGATACTCAGAGATCACCAAGTTAGGCAACTTGTGCTGCACAGAGGCAGGCAACAAACTCCTAGCAATGACAGTGGCATGTAACTCACTTCAGCCACCTTGAGGATGGCACTTAAGTCATTTGGGATAGTTAAAAAAGACAGTCAGAATGGCTCTAAGTATGTTAATACAAGAAAAGACCATTTTTTTCCCAAATATTTCACTGATATAGGTGAACAGGCGACTTTGAAAGACTATCCAAAAGAAAAAGAAAACACATTTGGAAAGTATGCCATTTGTGCTGTCCCAGTGTGGAAGTTAAGACTGGGAGGAGTCTGACTCTATACTTACTAAACAGTTTTCTAAGTTTACTGAATAAAGTGTTTATTTGCTGAAACCACTGCCCTACTATCTCAGTCTTTAAAAATGAATTAATATCGTTAGGATACGTGGTGCATCAATCTCTACTTCCATTCTGTTCAACTACTGACCTTGTTCTTCATAAGGGTCATCTGGATCGTCTGCAACCAGTTCAGCACTGCTTGGGGTCTCGTGGTCCTCCTTAGTCACGAATATAATTTTGTCTTTTCCTGTCATGTAGGAGACAATAAGCAAAAGATCAGGAAAAGCCGAGACTAAGTAACCTACAGAGAGGCCAACCAGAACACAGTAATGAGATACTCAACACGATGCCCTCATGTTAATATTGAATGAATTGAGCATCTTCAATTACAAGTTGCTGGTTCACAGGGACATGTATATACAGACAAACGAGAAAGTATTCACAGGGAAGGTACTAAAAGTTATAAAAAGACCTGGAAATAAGACCTAGGAGAAAGTCAAAGTATGCTTAAAAAGATCAAGTAGCAATTTATCTAGGAGAACAGCAAATAAAACTGATCCTGTTGTCTTTGTACCACACTCATGTAACTGTAGGAAGTTATTCTCAATATTCAGTAGGAACTGAACAGAAAACTGGACAGAAACTATCAAATTCTTTCCCTCTTAAGTTCCACTTCTCACAGTAAAGTACTGTAACAGCTGTAAATCACTGTACAGTTCACTGAACAGCGAGGTTAAAAAGCTGTTTTAAAATAATCTCAAACTACTGCTCTCTTAGGAGAACAAACTCGGCTGAAGGGGCTGGACAGAAAAGGACTAAAAGTGAAAGGAAAAACTCTCCTGAGCTACAGAAAGTGTTTGGCAGGATACTCATTAAGATCTGCAGTCTCCATTACAGAGTCATGCCATAATTTACAATAATTATGTGAATTAAACAGTGAAGGGCACTTTAATGGTCTAGAACAGGCTATGTTGAAAGGTGCTGTGAACATTACCCAGGGCAGAAAAACAGCAGAGCGTACTTCCTGCTCTTGTGCCACTCTTGATTTAACAAAGTAGGTATGAAGGGGGTGGGGGGGGAAGGGTTGGCTGGCAACCAGGGCAAAGTTTACCAACAACTCTGTAAGGCTGTAAAAAAACCGCTCAAAGGCAAACACAAGCAGAAAAGTACATCAAGTACATCTAACAGAAACTTTTCTGAATGCACAGCTCAGCATTCATTGACTGGAATGAGCTCCCCAAACACTTCCTTTCAATCTCCAAATTCAGAAAGGCCACTACAATGACAAAGCACGTTACAAATTAGCATCCTGTTGTCCTTCAACATGACTCCACAAGAAAACGTTCAGTAATTCCCTCTGCTTTGCGTTCATTCACCTCTTCATCACGTGTGAAAAACAGATAAACCTGGATTCTTTCTAAAAGGAAACTTTTTTTGTCAGCCGTGTGGCATTCCAGCCAGCTTTACAGCTGGGATTTCTTACATGAAATGAACTAGAAATGAGTAAAACATCAGCACTGTTAACTGTAACGTGACCTATAATCCCATCACTGCAGCTGCACCACAAACTATAACTGCAGTCATTATAACTGCAGCTGCCATTCTACAAAATTTAATAAGGCAACTGACAGACCCGGTAAAGACACAAAATGTTGTTAATGCAAGTTAAAAACATAGGGCAAAGAGAACCGTAAGTTACCACAGTATATAATCAGCATCCAACGTGCCAAAGTTCGTCCTTCCAAAGCAACACTTAGAAGACTCTTTGCAGCTCGGAACTCCAGATATTTCACCAAAGGGGGGAAAATACATCCCCCACGTAAGAAAGTGGTCAAAACTCGTTAAGCATCACGACCAATACAGCTCCGTGTAGAAGCAGCTTCACCCTGCCCGCCTCAGCGCTCTCCGTGGCTGGGCACACGGGATCTGCCCGCTGCGGCCGGCAGCCTAACGACTACGGGAGCAGAACGGGACTCAGCCTCGGCCCGGCTGTGCCCCACTCGGTCGCGGCCTCTCCAGCGCGGCCCGCCCCGCAGCTTCCCGCCCGCTGCGGACGCCTCTCCACCCCTGGAGCCGCGCCGCCCCCACGCCTCAGAGAGAGCCGCCGCGTGACATTGGGAGGACGCCGGCGCGCACCTTCTTGCCTGCAGTAGGACATGGCGGAGCCGCCCGCTGCCTTCCCGCTCGGTACGCCCGCAGACCGGCTCCGCCGCCGTCCTGCGTCCTTCCCGCCCGCCCCGCTCCTCCTCCGCCAGCACTGCCGCGGCGCCGCTCAGCTCCACGCCGTGACCTCTGACCTCCGGAAACACACGCGGTGGCCCGTGACATCCGGAAGCGCACGCCCTGACCTCCTTCGCCAGCTGCCGCGCGGCCTCTCCGAAGCGGGAAAGGAGCAGCCAATCCGGGCAGAGCGCGCCTCGGCGCTGGACTACACCTCCCGGCGTGCCTTGCGCGCGCCGCGTGGGAACTACGTGTTCCGGCGTGCACCGCGGTAGCGGCAGAGCGGGGAGAGCTTGCGGAGAGGTGGCTGTGGGTGTGTCTGCTGGTGAGCGGCTGTTGCCGGCGGGCTCTGCGGGCTGCTGGAGGAAAGAAGCTGAAGATGTCGAGGAATGTAAGTTAGAGCGCTGCGTGCGGCGGGCTGCCCGCTCCCGTTGTCCCCTTGCGTGAGGCGGGGTGCCCCGAGCGGCTGTCACGTCTCGCACGGCTCCTGCAGAGCGGCTTCGCCTCCTGCCCTCGCTTGCCGTTACTGCTTGGCTGCCTCCAGAGCTCTGGTGCTCCTCACGCCCTGCGGTGTTGGTTTTCTAACGTAGCAGCGCCCAGGGCGGCAGCGGCGGTTTGTTCTGAGGTCTCTTCTCGTATCCCAGGGTGCAGTGATTGTATGGTGTGCTGGCGCTTGGAAACGAAACGTGTTATTTATAGCTGTGCTGTAGCTGGTCTGGAATTTGGGAGTATTGCTCAGTTATTCACTGGGTGTGGATACCAAGTAGGGAACGTAGAGACAGGCTGAAGGGTGTGTGAAGGGATGTGCTGAGCTGCTGTTATAGCCGTTGTTTTCCTCTGTTAAGGTTTATTTATTGACTGTATTTCTGATGTCAACATTGTGGTAAGGCATTTAATAAGTGTGGGGAGGTTTAGGTCCAGTGCAAATGGTGCTGTTTAGCAGTGGTTAAGCAGTTTAGCAAAGGTAAAAAGCTTGTTCTGAAACACACTGTCCCCTTTTATACCAGTGTTACATTTTTGGTTTATCTCCAACAGTTCTCTGATACAGGAAGCAAAAAAGAACATGTCAAAATCACAAGTGAGGCCAAGCCAGGGTTCCTGGAGAGGCTCAGCGAGACTTCTGGAGGCATGCTCATAGGACTCGGGACATTTCTTCTGTCCTTCTACCTTCTTTTTACCAATGAAGTAAGTGAAATACTATCAGTGTTTATATACAGCTGTAAAATGGTAATGCCACGGTGACATTCAACTAGTTTTGCATGTATAGGGTCGCAGAAATGGTCGTGCTGAAGTTTTATTACTTCATCAGTAGGAAGAGAGCAATGTGCCTGGAGAGGCTGATGCTTATGCTTGGGATGTAAGAATGAACATAGAGCCAGAGATATTGCTGTGGAACAGCGTGTGATAGAGACAGTGGCAGTGTATGATGAGAATTAAGATCCTAAACCTATGAGCTCCTGGAGAAACAGGCTGTAGGACTATTGAAAGAAGCTGAATGAACCAGCCATGTTCAGTTCTTCTGTCTCTATCTTGAGATAACGTAGAGAACTCATTTTTAGAGCTGTTGGAATTTTGCTAAAGGAATTAATATTCAACGTTGCAAAAGTGAGGGTGTTAATTAATCTCATTGTTACTTTGTTTTGGTTTTGGACTTGGAGGAGAATGGTGAATTGCGAGTGTGCTTTTCAGTTTATGCCTTGAGGATGGACATCTGAGAAGTCCTTGGGGTCTGCAGATCACTTGTCTTCTACCATTTTCACAGAATAATGACGTGCCATTGATTCTCCACAACTTGATTTTGCTTTTCTTGACTACAGGGACGAGCTTTGAGGACAGCTAAATCTCTTGATGAGGGACTTTCTCTTGTGATCCCTCTTGACAACATTCACAGCGTGTCTCAACAGAATGAGGGGAGTCTGGTGCACTTAGCTGGCGCTCTGAGCACAGCAAAGGTAAATAAAACTAGCATCTTGGATATGGGAGAATCTCAAGTTTGGAGGGATTGGAGTGTTGAAATACTCACAGATACCTCACTAATTCCTACTGACTTGTGTTTTCTTTGTATTTCCAATAGCCTTTGTTTGATCCCAGCTATGGGCTGTCCGTCCAGGCTGTCAAGCTGAAGCGCAAAGTGGAAATGTACCAGTGGGTAGAATATGAAGATTCCAGGTGAATGAAACAGATCTTTAAATGTTGTATTAACAGGGTCAATTGAAACAGGTATTCTGCATTGAGCTGGTGTGTGTGTGTGTGTGTGTGTGTGTGTGCTATTTGGCTTCTCACTTCACCCTTTTTCTTTGCAGGGAGTATGAAGAAAATGGTGAGATCAAGAAAGAGACAAAGTACTCATATGGTAAGTTGATCAACAGAAAATCCTTTTGTTTTTATGCCTGTAGCTTTGGGCTTTCCTGTGTATCTGTCTTGAATTTGTTGAAAAACATCTGGTTTTTTTTTTTTGTTGGGAAAGAAAACTATATAAAGAAATAAGCAAAGATTCTGTTTGCTAAGTGAATGGCAGCATGTTGAGAGTTTTAGTGTTCATATAAGCTAATGAAAACCTCCAGCACCTTCTGATGTGTGTTGTGGCATTTGGCAAATGCTTTTTTGGCAGGAGGAGAACTGGAACTTCTAATCTACCTGATGGTGGAAAAATACTCTGAGTCATCGTATCTCTGGAGCTTATTCTCTGTGCTTCATTTATCCCCAGCTAAAGCCTATGGACATGTATGTGGGTGTGCAGTGATTTCTGGGTGTGATCATAAGAATTCTCCAGCTCAGTGAAGCATGAGACCCTGCAGCACAGAGATAACTAAGGAGCAAAGCTAGTGCTATGAGGAACAGCCATTAAAGAACAACAAAAAAAAGCTATGCTCTCAGAATTGATGGATTCTGTCCAGTTGAAGTCTTTATATTACCAGGTGTTGTGGATTGGCCTTGACTGGCAGCCAAACAGCACACAGCTGGTAGCTTGTTTCAACTGCAGTGGGGCTGGAGGAGACGATAGGAAGAAGAACAAGAGCTTGTCAAGTCAGACAGGGAGATCTCTTACCATCGTGGGCAAAACAAACTTGTTTTGGGGAGGGCTAACATATTGTCAACAAAATTAAATACTTAATTAGTGATTTGGGTAGTAGCAAAGCACAGTTACTCCCACTGTTTCCAGGTTCAGATTCACTTCAGACATCTCTACCCTTGTTATTGCTTCAGGTTTCACTCGGTGCTTTAAGTGAGGCAGGGAGCAGTGTGTGGGTGGGTTTGCAGTCTCTCTGCTACTCATTACACCTCATGCTTCTTCCCTACTCCAGTGTGGGGAGGCCACAGATGCCAACCCTGCAGCCCTCCTCACAGGTACCAGAATTTTGACACACAAACCTGGTACACTAGAATATCCTTCACAATGATCTCCACTCTAGTGTTTAGCCAAACTCTCTTCCTTCCTCTCCTCTTCTCTGTGGAAGCATAGAGCATTGTGTTTAGTGCAGAGACTGCTCAAAAAAGGGGACTCTAGTTTTGTAGGAGTTGCAAGAAACCTACTTATACCTATAAGTACTACTTACAAGGAATGTGCTCTGTAGTGTGGAGAGGCTGCTGTGGCCTGAATCAAAGCAGTGCTATGCGTCTGTGACAGTGGCATGTACAGATATCTTCTGTTTTACTTGACTGCACTGAAATCTGCTAGCTCTGGCAGAAATCCCAGCTTTTCCTTGCTTGCTCCCAAAGTGAGGAGCCAGAAATTGAAGCCTGATCAAGGAAGATGCCAATGGCAAATCTCCCACCATGCAAAGCTGAGTTATAATTTTATTCCTAAAGTTCCTTTTTTTCCTGAGTCCATCCATTTGTTGTTACTATATTATGAGATCAGATTTAAGTATCATTATAGACTATCCCATCAGGTACCTTGATGTTAAAAAAAAAAAAGTGTAGTTTGGAACTGATTCATTGATTTAGAGGTGTCATCAGTAACTAAGATCCAAGTGGCAGTTATTGCTCTCTTCTCACCCTTCAATATCGTTTTCCTTAGATACTGAATGGAAATCCGAAGTTGTGAACAGCAGGAATTTTGATCGAGAAATAGGACACAAAAATCCTAGGTAATTTACCACCAACACAGTCCCTCTAGATTCTGTCAATGTATCAGACTGATGATGAGAACTCAATGATAAATCTTCATGATGTAGCAAAGTAAATGGAAACTCTTTGTCTTTTTGCAGTTGGGAGAAATTAGGTGTAGATAGCAGTTCAAAGCTGCCTAATGGAGCCAGAATGCAACATTTCTGATGGAATGCTGCTCATTAAATGGCTTACATCAGGTTGCTATTTTACTGCTGAGCCACATGGATTGCATAGGGGAGAACTGAATGGGTTTCTTTTTGACTTTGGCTAGTTCTTCTATTAAAAAGAGAGTGAGAATAGCAAGCATCCCGCAAGCTTGCCATACCACTTGCATGCTGCTCTTCTAAGCTAGCATGTATGAACTCAGGCTTATTTATAGCAATTGCCCACATATAACCAGTTTTGTATTTCTCTCAGCTGCAGCATTTTAATTATGTACACTGTGCCATTTTTAGCTTTAAGTTTAATCTTGCTTGCCATCCTCACAGCACGTGTTTGGTTCCTTAGAGTGCAGGATACCATTTGGCAAAAAAACCCAAACAGGACTTAAATGAAACTTAGAACTCCAGCTAACGTCCATAACTTTATTTTGGTACC